GTCTCAAAACAGGTAAGTCGGTAAGCGAGGAACATCTGTAATGATTTAGGCCAATTTCTTTATGATTATGAACAACTTTAATTTAAGACCGTTTTAGAACAATAAAACATTTAACCTATTCATGTTTTCAACTGCGATCGTGTGGGACCGTCCAGGCTGTATTGCGGCGGGACACCGTGTGATCTGATTGGCGTGAATGGAGTGCCATTACAAAATAATGGCACTGCCAACGCGATTGGCGGTAGTGTGCAATTCTGTGACCGCCCAGCCATCCCCTCAGTTTCGTGCACAACGACCGGGCGTCACGGATTGCACACCACCGCCGATCGCGCTGCTAGTGCCATTATTTTCTAATGGCACCCCAGTCGTGTCAGACAGATTGCGTGGTTTCCCGCCGCAATACTGCCCTGCCCGTGCGGTTGCACACAATCGCGGTTGAAAACACTACACGTTTATTCGCATTCAGATGATGGGGGCAGCGGGGCTGGTTTTCATTTTATTTCAATTTCTGTTTACTTTGTAAAAAAAATAATTTCCATTTATTTTATTATTTTTACTTTATCGCCTTTTATTTTTTTACATTTTTATTTAGTTATTATTTTTTACTTTTTTATTTTATTAATTTTTTTCACTTAACTTTATTGCTATCACACAGCGGATAACAAACCCCTGTGTGATAGCATTTGGAGGTGACAGGCACTCTTTATTTACCCTGTTACCTCCAACACAGAAGTTCTAGCACAGCACTGTCACAGCTCCACGTGTTCGGCTCTGTCGCCGCTCCACGGCCCCTGCTCTGTCACTGCTCCACGCCCCCACTCTCAGCGCTCCACGCCCCCTGCTCTCGCTTGCCCGGCGCCTGGAACTACATGTCCCGGCGTCGGGCGATATGCAAGCATCAGTGTTATGTACCGGGGCATTTTCACAAGTACAAGTACTTGTGAAAATGCCTTGCATCGGTCCCGATACCGATGCTAGCCTCGGTATTGGGACATACCTAGTAGATTTAATCATCAAAAAAAGATGATGGGGTAAAAGATTGAGTGAATGGGCCCTTAAGACCTGACTGTGCTAGGCATATTCTCCAGCTTAACAGTGTTAGACTGCCCTGATAAACAAAATGCCTCTCTACATCTGCCTGTCAAGTCTTGTGGGGTTGGGGAGTGTCTTCCAATTCTGGGTACTCTGTCTCCCTTTGTCGTGCTGGCTAGGACAGGGGATTTTAGAGCCCTTCATTTCACTATTTTTATTGTGGATGGTAAGTTCTGGTTCTGGGGAAGACATTGTAAGATGCAAGTTGTAACTTAATATGAAGCATATTCCCACAACAAAAACAAACAAAACGGTTGGTACCATCACGAAAAAAAAAAAAGAACACACAGTCTTATCCCTTGTTACCATTGAAAATGAAAGAAAATCCCAAATTTTGGGTGGTCACAAGAACAGGTGCGCATAAGAAATATTTCAATGGGGACAATACCTGCTGAGCACCAGCAATTTACCTAACATTGAAGGGATTCCCTCTCACAACTGGAAAGTTGTGGCCATCAGATAGCAAATAAAGGTAACTCTCCCCAATGGGATACAGATGGAAAAAAAAGCTGGCAAGTGTTATATCCCTCCCTTACCCTATCTAACATAAAAAAAAAATGTTTTGGCTTTAGTTCTGCTTTAAGCGATTTGCCAAAAAGACCCATTTTTGTCTTATTTGTCCAAAGGACATTGTCAATATGCATTTTGGTAAATTCCAGCCTTTTTTCTTTATGTTTGTCTTTCCTCTTAGGTGTTCTCTTGAGCCAACTGTCATTTAAAAAGCAATGCAAGGTGCATTCAGACACCTTTGAGTTCAGTATGGAACTATTTGGACATTTTCCTTGGCTCTGTGTCTACCATTCACTCTCATTCTGTTGAGTCTGGGGTATAGTTTCCTCCTGTGGCCATGTCCAGGGAAATTGGTGACACTCCCATGGATTTTACAATTGTAAAATAGACATTTATTAACCAAATTTCCTTGGAGATGGTCTTATAGCCTTTACCTGTGACATGCTGGTCTATAATCTTCTTTCTGATCACCTCAGACAACACTTTCTTTTCCCTTCTCTGGTCCATGTTTAGTGTGGTGCACATGATGATACCAGACTATTATTCTCCATTTAAATTACCTAAGTGATTTGTTATAAGATTGAAGACATGTATGATACTAATTACAGAAAACAGTTTGAAAGATACCATTATTTATATTTTTTTTAAGGAGACCGACAAATCCAGCTGGGTGATTTTAGAATATCTTTGTAGAATGAGCAATAATTTATCTTTTTTCACACTTTCTTTGCTTTACTCTATGACATACCAAAGGCATGCAGACATGAGACAATTGATTATTATTTAAGCACTTTTCAGGAAGAATAGAGCACTATTTTAATGAGAAAGGGTACAACAAATTTGTCTACAACTGTATAACTAGATTCCAAGTAAGATAAACTTGCTATATAAAATCTATACAGTCTAGAATGCTTGCATTGCTTGCTAGGTAGTGTACGAACTGCAATGAAAGTCTTCACCTCATACTTTACTTACCGGCAATAATAGCAGGTAAATGTACCAAGGCACTGAAACAGACAACTATTTAACTGGACCAGAGTTCACCAATATGTTTACAGTGAAATGCTTTAATTAAAGGAAATCTCAGGCAGCTGTGATAACATATGTTTAACATAACAAACTGGAAATATTAATAAAACAATATTTACCAAATCTATTGTATTGTAGGCATTTAGTGAATGTGTGATACATTTTTAACCAAATGTTTTGATGTATAAAGAACATGTACAAGTTATTAGTAACAATTACAAACACCCTGACGTGAATGTTACCAATTATGCTGAAATAGAAACAAGATTAGTTGACACTGCGGATTTTTAAATCCCTTAAAACAATTCTGCTTTATTGCTTGAAGAAGTGGTAAGGAAAATGACTACTAAACTGATTCCATCTTAAAATTCCACCATAGGATATTCCAGGAAAACAGTGATATATTTAGTGGCATGAAACTGGTGCTACAAGAAGAAAATTTCCTTGCAGGACATTTAGCAACATAGGCACATGATATAGTGTTTATTGGGAAAGTCAAGCTTAAAGACAACTTCTCCTATAGTGAAGCTGTCTATTATGGACCCCCTCTCCCATAGTGGACTCCCTTTGGTTAGTTACCTGCAACCCTGTCACTGACCTTGCCCACCACACAGAATTCTCTTCACAACAACCGAAAGTCCCAGTTTATTCCTTCAGATTGTCTCATACTCTATTTGGAGTACGAGTACAGACTACAGGTATTTATTTAGGGAACCCATTTTAAAAGGGGTAAATAAAAGAGTAAGTCACCAGCATTCCAAAGGTTCTCCAAGCATAGCTCTTTTATGCCATGTGTAAACTTACATCATCAAGTGTAGCAAGGCTTCGGAATGCATCAGGTTCCTTCATCAGGCAAAACAAAGTGATGCATATCATATGCATCACTTTGTTTTGCCTGATGAAGGAACCGGGTGCGTTCCGAAAAATTGCTACACTTGGTGATGTAGCTTTACACATGAAATACAAATTACTTTGCTTGGAAAACCTTTGGAGTGCTGGTGACTTACTGATTTGTTTATCTGATCCAGCAGCGCCATCTGCTGTCATTTCAGCACCCCCCCCCCCCCTTTGGAAGTTGGGGCATTTTCGTTCAGGAGCGTGGCGGGATCCTCTACATGACTGCATTTTATAAGGGGGCTTCATCAAGGACAATTTTACTAAATGTTAGATTATATGTTGACCAGATTAATCACCAAAAAAGGCTTACCATGTGGATAAAATGCAAAAGTCCTAAAGGATTATATTCCAAACAGAAAAAAATCTCCATTGTTAATGATGCACTCAAATGGAAATCTGAAGTTTCTTTTTTTAAAGTTAAATGACATTAAACTCAGGAGTTGAACCTTAAAAATGCTTTCAAGTCCCCTATTAAGAAAAATGTAGCTTATTTGTGTATCACTCAGCTGTAGATCCTCAATCATCTCTGAATAACACTCTCCTACCTTCTGGAGGTTGGCTATTTTTGCTTCCCATTTTCCCTGTGTGTTTTGTAAAGTAGGCACCACTCAAAGCTCTCTCCTGTGATGGACTACAATCTCACGCTTAGTGTATTCATTTGTATTGAGAAGTTTATTCATTTGTATTGAGATTGTAGTCCATCATGGGAGGGAGCTTGGAGTGGTGGCTACTTTACAACACACATAGAGAACATGGGAACAAAAGTAGCCACCCTCCAGAAGGAAGGACGGTGTCCGCACCAATTCAGAGATGATTTGAGGATCTACATCCAAATGAAACACAAATAAGCTAAATTTTTCTTAATAGTTAGGGTACTCAAATGCAATTTTAAGATTTAACCCCTGAGTTTATTGTCACATTAACAGTCTTGCTGGAATAGGATCAGTATTCTTGTAAAGAAGCTGATTCAATGGCTCTGCCTGAATGTCAGTCCCCCACAAATATTTAACAGAAACCGCTAAATACCTAATGTCTAACCTAGAGTCATGAGAACAGACATACGAAAGAGCACAGTTTTCTTCAACAAAATTAAGTATTTCAGCCCATCTCTTACATTTTCTAGCAAGACTGTTAACACAGCTTTAAACTATACATTTACTTTCAAATGACTTGTAGTAGTTACAAAGGTTCAGGCTTGCACAAAATTATGCTTACTTTTGGATTCCCTGAAGTTCCTAGCAATTGTTCTGGCCAATGCAATGCTGTCTTCTCAGGCAAAAAGGCATGAGAGGTTAGGAGCCAGGTTACTTATGATCTTTACACAACATCAAAGCTGCCTGCTTCTTGTCAGCCTGGACAGAGGGCAGAAATAATATGGCAATGTGTCAGCCATGCATATTGGGTGGTAGCAGAACAATTGCTACAGATGTTAAGTGCAAGTCCAGACCTATGTCAAATGTGGACTTACACTTCAACAGTTTAGGGTAGGTACTCTTAAGAACTGGGAAGTTTAAATATATCTTAAATGACATACATGTAATATAAATTTCCAACGTGATGTAATGTTATGGTCAAAACAAAATTTGCATCTAGCTCATATTTGGGGTGACCAACCCTTGCAACATAATCATGAGGCGCCGAGCTGGCTTCTGTAGAGGGTTGTGAGGCTCCACTTGTAAGAACTGGAACAATTTCTGTCGCACTTGGGTCATTACACTGCCCATGTGATCTCTAGTTACAGGGTCACTGTGATCCAGATGCATCACTGCTTCTTCCAAATAGCTACAAGAGAAAAAAGAAGAGGGTAAAGTATACAATAAAATTGACACTACCAATGGCTGTAAATCATTCACACCTTAAAAGTGAACCTGTGTCCAGACTATGAACATTGAAGTATTTACATAAAATGGGATTTTTGTACTTACCGTATCATCTGTTTTTTTGGGGTCCACTGAGGGACACAGGATTTCAAAATCAGTTGGGTTATACTGCCACCTACAGGATGATTAGACACTATAAACAGAAAAAAATCACAAACCAAACCATGTAAAAACCCTACCTCAGTATGCCTCAGTTTTGTGTTAAAGCAGTACTAAGGGCAAGAGCAAAAAAAAAAAACCTATGTCCCTCAATGGACTCCCAAGAAATGGATTTTACTGTTATGACAATAAAACTATTTCCTTCTTGTCCAATGAAGGACATAGGAATTGAGATAGGATATCCAAAAGCAGTCCAACTGAGGGGTGGGCAACACACCAAAAACCATTACCAGCAATAGGGGACGGGGGATTGCCTGTAGCCCAGGAGCCACCTGAACCCAGGAGCCACCTGAACGACCAACACCTGAATCTGAATGGATGAAGTTGGGCCCTATGGTAGATAGGGGAACCAGCTAAAGTCCCCAAAAGGGAGAGAATGGAGAACACACCTGATGGTCCAGACCAGAATGGAGAAGGTCACCACCAGAGGGGAATGACTCCACACTGAAGGGAAAATCAAATCTGAAACAGCAAGGAGATGATCAACAAAAACCGGTAGAACAGAAGCAAACAAACAAATTCCCAAGCAAGGAAGAAAAACAAAAGAAAACAAACCCACTGGTAATAACCCTCAGTATGAACAGGTCGCAAAGGGAACCCAGTATAAAAATCAGGCCCAGGCAAGAAAGACCAGCCAGCCTACTTGGAAAAGCCTAACATTCCTACACCTTAGGGTCAAGGGAATAAAACTCTATGATTAAAGCAAGTTGCCTAACCAAACTACCAACCTCGCTAAGCAAGGTACACCAGAGAATGTACAGTCAAATTCAACACAACAGTCCCCAAGGGAAGAGACCACTGAGCCAACTAGAGAACCCAAGGGTTCAGATGCCACAAAAAATTGACAGGGACAAATGTGCCAGGAAGACAATGTCGCTAGGGTAGGCAGAACAAAAAGTAAGCCTTAATTACAGACTGGTAAGATGGGGACAACAGGGAGAATGAAAACTAAAATATGCTCTCTAACACCCCTAGGTGACACTGGGACCTGCAGAAGAATGTTGTAGAGTCTGCCTAACCTTAACCAGCCATGGATCCAGGAATTCCAGGCTCCATTGAAGCATCAACAGCTGTGGATCGAGGGTCATACATTTTAGCCAAAGGGCTAAAACCATTGACTTTTCCCAGGAGGCTGCTTAGTAACCAAGAAGGGAGGATCAATCCCTTAGAAAAGGTACCTATGAAGCACTCTGAATCTACTCCATCCCCAGCAGACACTGAAGAGAATAGAGAGATCTGAAGAGATTATAGAGTTTATAGCAGGGACTACCTGATCTGCAGAGACAGGACTAGATGCCTGCTCAAAACCCAAATGCTTGATCACTGGGAAGAGGAATAGAGAGCGCTGGGAAAAAATAGTCAAGGGTTAAGAAGCCTGAGGAGGGTCTCCCCCACCAGCCTATGTCTCTTGACAGAGGTGAAGGGAGGTGTGGAAAATTTATGCTTAAGCTGGACCACTCTGGTGACAGGTACCGTGACCAGTGGTTCAGGTTCCAGGACAGGGAATTTTCCAGAGGAAGGCAGTGGGGGCCTGGAAAGGACACCACTCCAGAACCTGACCTAGCCTCAGAGTTGGAATAACTCTAAGTGAGAAGAACTCACATCGGAGATAAAAACAACTGAAGGGAGCCCCAGAAGTAAGGGATTAGTATGAGTTCTCAGATGAAACCTCATGCATCTGACTGCCAGAGAGGGAAACTGTTCAAGGGCCCACCAGGATGTACAATCAGCCTGCCACTTGTAGAAGTGCACTTTCATGCAGAGGGATAAGCTGACCTCTGAGCTTCTTGCCCCATGAGCCTGGCTGCAACTAATGCAGAAGTAGATGAAGGACCTCCCTAGACCTCCTGTGTCGAAGCAGAACATGCTCTAGCCTACTGTGAAATTACTTTCCTTGCAGTCCAAATTACTCAAATATATAATTGGCATTTCAGCAGTGCAACCATAAGATGCTGGCTGATCCTCCAAATGCAGGTTAATATCCACTGCATCAATAAGGTCTGACAGGACCCCCTGACAGGACGAGGTGACAGCAGGAGACTGTGGTGCATCAAAAAATAGTCTCTTTAGAAAAAGCTGATGGGACTTTAAATCGAAGTCAGATATGGTAATTGGGACCAGTGGTCCACCCTAATGTAAGGCTTCTGTCAGGTTAGAGTTCTGCAGGGGATGGTGCCAAAGCATCTTAAGAGCCTCTCTAGTCAATGTGTATAAGAGGTTGAGTGCATGTGGTCAAATAGTCATGAGTGGACGTAGAAGTCCTGAGGATAAGGTAGGGGGACTCCAATGAAGAGGACCCTATAACAACGGTGTCAAATTCCAAGTAACAGGCACTCGGACGAGGGAGCGCTGTCATCAGGTCGGTGAACAGGAGAGAAGCCGCCCCGAGGAGGCTTCATTTCCACTCGCCCCCACGCAATTTTCACTCGCAAATTGCGAGGGGGCGAGTGGAAATTTTGAGCCCTGGACTATATATTGATAGTATCAAAGGAACTCCAGTTATACTGGTAATTAATCCAGAGAAGATGTGTGCACTGATCCTGCAGCCTGGTTAGTTGGATAGGGAAACATCCATGTAACAGCACTGTGAAGAAAACATAGAAAACTGGCGCACAGATCTAAGTGCAGTATAAAAGTGACTGTTTAATAAGGTTAAAAGTAATGCACTTACAGGATATTAAAAAACATCTTGCCTCTCACGCATCAGATGAAAGTCCCATCTCAGGTGCTGGTCCAAGATTGCTATCAGGATATGGAAATAGCAGAGTCCAGTTCAGTCCAGAAAGATTCCAGAAAGCCTGTGCTGGAAGACACAGGTCTGATCCAGTGGCTGAGCACTGCTGTGGCTGGTTCTCCTCAATGCAGGGTCACAGCTGCTGAGTACTTCCGGGCCGTCAGGTGTCGCTCGGCAACGCGTTTCAGATGTTCACCTTCTTTGTCAAGCCTAAGTGCCCATTCACACTAAGCGTTTAATTGCACAATTTCTGCTGCAATATCGCGAGAAGTCGCTCGACCAATGATTTCCAATGGAGCTGCTCTATTCTTCAGCTCCATGTCCCCTGTCGCTCGTCGCTTGTGCGGATGTCGCGTGATGTTTCTATTTTTGCATGCAGCCCGACGGTGAAGGTCACCGGAACGTCGCCCTAACAGTCGCGCTATCCCGGCCGTGCGGAAATCCGCTCGAGGTAAGTGTCGCTCAGTGTGAATGGGGCCTAAGGGTGGAGTGGGCAGTCCTTTTGCACCTTTGCGCAGTGTACATGCATACCATGCATCTACATCCATACGTACTGTACATGCATTCGGCCCCTTTCTTATATTTCACCGATTGACATATGTTCTTCTTACTCCGTATATGTTTTTTATAATCTTATAATTTTATAGTTGTATCATTATTTTATCACGATCATTTTCAATATCTTTAACCACTTGCTGACCGGGGTGTTTACACCCCCTTCCTGTCCAGGCCATTTTTCAGTATTCATCGCTGCAGTACTTTGCTGACGTTTATTCCGTCATGCAACGCTGTACTGAAATGAATTTTATACAATTTTTTGGGGACATATAGAGCTCTCTTTTGGTGGTATTTAATCACTACTGTTTTTTTTTTTTTACTATATAACAAAAAAAGTACAGAATATTTTTTTTTAAAAATGGTTTTCCCTTTATTATTTTAGGAAACATTTATTTTTACCCAACTTTTTGGTAAAATATAAAAGGCGGTGTCACGTCGGGTAAATAGACACCAAACATGTCAAGCCTTAAAATTGTGCGCGCCTTGCGAAATCGCAAAAATCCACCATAGCCAAAATTGACCATAGGCTTGAGTGAAAAGCACTCACCTCATAGTTCTCCTTTAAATTATTTTACCGCTCATCAGTTTAGTGTCATCAGTGATTAATGGCCCTAAAATTATTGCTCTCATTGCGACGTTCGTGGCGATATGCAACACGTGCAGCATAATTGGAGCAATCGTAATTTTTGCGTGTAGGCGCATCTAATGCATTTTTGCGCATCTATGGTTTTTTTTTTTACACTTAACTTTATTGTTATCACATAGGGTGCTAAGAAGTACCCTATGTAATAACAAATTATAACAATAATAACAAATTACAGTTACAGGTCCCCTTTATGGAGACATCGGGGGTCTCTAAGACCCGTAATGTCACCTAGGGACCCCCAGAGAAGCTGATGAAGCACAGATCTGCTTCATCAGCTTCTCTCCGGTCTCTGTACCTGAGAGTGACATAGAAATGTGGAAGTGATGTAATATACATCACTTCCTGCATTCAGAGACCGGGAGGAGAGCGGAGGGAGATCGGGTACTGATCTCCCTCCGTTCTCAGTGCACAGAGCCACATTGCCTGGGATCGCGGGGACGGCGGCGGTGGGGACAGCGACGGCGACCAGAGGTAAGGAGGGCTTACCTCCTTACCATCGCTGGCCGTTTAAAATCCAGGTGGTTTCCCGCTCGTGCGCGGGCACAAAGGACGTCTAATGATGCCGACCTGCATCCAGGAGACTCCCGTCCGGCCGTCTTTCGACACTCGGCGGATGGGAGGTGGTTAATATTACTATTATGTTTTTATTGCCGACCACTTTTATGATGCATTCCTGGCAGCAATTTACCACTATTGGCTTCCTCCCACTAGTTGGCGCCAAAGCGCTCAATGCTTCCCCCTTTCCACTATATAAAGGACTCTGTCCACTCCACCCTTAGGCTTGACAAAGGAGGTGAACCTCTGA